GTAGGTGTCTAGTAGCATTTTTTGCATGTGGATATCCACTGGTCCTAGGATGATTTTTGAAGACTATCTTCCCTCTTTGCACTGTCTTGGCATTTTGTTGAAAATCATTTGATTGTTAATGTTAGGCTTTATTTTTCGAGTCTCAATTCTGCTCTATGGGTCTTTATGTCTTTGCTCATGCCCATACCACATGGTTTTTATTTTTGTAGCTTTTTAGGAAGTTTTGAAATCTTCCTTTTTATTTTTAAATGTAACATTTTTGTTATTTTAGTCAGGAGGACCTTTCAGTATGTTTCATCTACATACTGCCATAAATCTAAATCAATCACTATTTATTTATTCATTTATTTGTAGCAGAATGCCTTCAGTAAGAACTTCAAATTTCTTTCATTTTTCATAATCTACTTCAGGTATACAAAAAGATATTTAAAAATGCAGCAACCATGTAGTCTCCATCCCGCTTAGAAAATAACGTAATTTAAGTCCCCGTGTATACCTTTTCAGTCACATTTCTCTAAATTCCCTCAGTGATGATCACCATCCTGAATTTATGTTTATCATTCCCAAGAATGCCTTATACTCTTATTTACCATCATTTCCAACTGCCTGTTCCCTTGCCATCCTCTGCTATAGAGGCTATAACACAAATTCCTTGACACCCAGCTTCTCTTGATGATCTAAAAGTCCATAGACTCAGGCATGACTAATGAGCATGGGTAAGTCTTTGGGTAGTGTGACTTTTCTCAAATGAAAGTAAAGACTTGCTATAGGCAATCCTTTTTGTTTTTCATAATTTTTCCCTTCCATTTTTCCATTTTGGGACATAGGCATGATGCTGAGGTAACTCTCTTGTCACCACAAGGAGACAAGAATGAAGAAGAAAACTTCTGTTTCTTCATGGCAGAAATGAAGATGGAAATGGCCTGTGTACCTGATAGCATGGGTGGACCAAGTCAGGACTGCCCACCTCAGACCCCTTGTTGCATGAAGGATTTGCGGCATTGTATTGCATCACCCAAGATGTCATGGATTGTAAGACATAGCATTATTTTATATATCATTAAGAAAGAAAAAAGATGCTGGTAACTATACAATAATATAATGCTTTCTTTTCACTTCATTGTCAATGGTAACCTAATTTCATAAACAAGAAAATTTGAAAAACGTGTTTCTAGGAGTCAGTAAAATATTTTTTTAAAAAACCCTTCTTTTGTATGTGCTATGGTGAGTGCTGTGAAGTGTGCTGTAAACCTGGTGATTCGCAGACCTGTACCCCTGGGGCTGATAATACATTATATGTTTATAAAAAATTAAAAAAAAATTACAAAAACAACTTTCTTTTTTTAAATGTTTGTTAGTTGAGTTCTCAAATACTTGCAACTGAACAGTTTCCTAATTGATGCCATTTTATAATAAGTAGACAGATTTAGATTGAAACGAATGTATCTGAAAGCAGGTAGGGAAGAAAATCGGGCTTTGCTAAGAAATCTGCTTTTTGCTCTAGGTTAGCAATCCCAAATGGCTGAGACCCAGAAATCCGCAGGCATGTTGTGTCAGACCTGGGCCTGTTTATTGGCAGACTTCTTCCTTGCCCTTTTCTTGCCTGAGATGTAAGGCTCCAGGCTATGTTCCCCCACCTTCTGGGTCAGCTATGACCAGCTGAGTTCAGCCAGTGAGATGTGTCGCCTGGATAGTGGAAGAAGAGAGGAGGGACAAATTGTATTCCTTCTCCTCCCCCTCTGTCATCAGTAGCATCTCCGCAACTGAAACTGCTCACCAGATCTGGCCCCTACACGACAGGCCAGCCGACGTTGCAGCGTCTGCTTAGTGATGCCTGGCCCCCTGTCTTTTTGTTCTTCCATCCGAGGAGTCTTAGTGGCTTCCTGCTTTTGCTCATCTCAGGATGATGGCCTCACCATCCTTATTTGGTTCAGCTCATCCGTGATCTGTGTAACCTATGCCTTGCATTAAAATCTCTCTGACACTTGGACCATTTAAAGTGGTTTTTTGTTTCCCTGACTAAAAACCAGGGATAATTTTAAAAAGGTGAATTCTCAGTCCTAGGCTGAACGTGCTGCATGCCAAGTCAAACAGATGGGATTCATAGCAGGAGATAGGATTGGAACTTGAGAACTCAAGTCTGATTCCCTGGGCCCCTCCCCAGCACCGAATGTAATACACTCCCTGAGGACGGGGTGATTATTCCCATTGTAAAATGCAGCTGGCATGCATCCTGAGGAAAGAGGGGAGTTTTTAATACTTCTCCTCTCCAGGTCATTGACTTGAAAGCCAGGGACAAAATAGTCTTTACTCTTCTTGTTCAGTAGGAAGTGATCGACACATGTTAGTGTGTCTTCCAAATAGAGCTCATTATTACCTCTTTCACTCTCCACTTGGATACGTTGGGAAAAATAAACATCTTGTGGACTTGGATTGCTGGTTCATCTTGACCCAACAGAGAAGAGTTTACCTCAGGTAGGTGCAACGGAATTGCCTCCTTATGGGGAGGAGGTGAGTGCTTGGGTTAGTGACATTTTGAAATTGAAAATATTGGAAAAAGTGTGTGTGGAATTCAAACAGCTAGAAAAGGACAATAGATATTTGTGGTTTTATTTTAGATCTCTTTCTCTCTTGCTCACTCAACCTCTCTCACCCTCCCTCCTGTCCTTCCTTTCTTCTTTTCTTTCTTTTCCTTCTCTCTTTTTTTTTCTCTGACAATAACAACCTGATTTTCCTTGGGGAAATCACCTCTTTCCCACTCTGAGTTCATATGGTTTGGTGGTATTAACACTAACTCTGCCTCCAGGGAAAAGCATTTGACTCAGTCCTGGCCAATTAGAACACTGATTCTTCTTGGCCAAATCAAAGCTTGTTGAGATGCAAAGCTCAATTTCTTGAAAGGAAAGCATTCATTATTGTTTATGTTGGACTTGGAGTTGTGAGGATGTAAGCCTGGAGCTTTTAGCAACCGTCTTGCCACCATGACAGCTGGGCCTGCCTGAGAATGGAATCAAGGCACAGGGAAGCAAAGGTGAGAAAGAGAAAAGAGCCAATTCTTGATGACATGGTTTACCTTCGGGATTTGTCTGTGCCTAAACCCAGAACTACCTTGTAAAACTTTTTAGTTGTGTCAACCAGTGAATTCTTTCCCTAAGCCTATCTGAGATATGTTTTTTTCCCCTCTTTCTCTTTTCCTTCTTCTTTCCCTCCCATATGCAGAAAGAACCCTAAATATTATTTTTAAAAAATTATGTTCATGCATATCCTGGAGCTGAAGATGACTTAAATTTGGTTAAAAGAGAACTTAAAGGCTATTTCTGTAAATAAACAAAAGCCCTCTTCTTCTTCTTTCTTTCTTTCTTTTCTTTTCTCTTTTTTTTTTTTTAGATTTTGTTTTTAAGTAACCTCTACAGCCACCATGGGGCTTGAACTCACCACCCTAAGATCAAGAGTCGCACGCTCCACCAACTGACCCAGCCAAGTGCCCCAGTCCTCTTATTATTACTGCATGCAAGGCAGTGACTACAGCATTTGTTTTTAAAAATCTAAAGTCAGTGTGTTTTGTTAACTCCCATGATACAATATTTTAGTTATGTTAAAGCTGCCAGTGAAGTTGGTCCTAGGCCACTACTTGTACTTTGTCTATTATAGCAACTTAGAACGTATATTTAAAAGATGTTACACTATCATTTAAACTCACAAACGTTCATTAATACATACCCATGGCGGACACTGTTCAAAGTACTGGTTTCCTCCTTCTTAGCAGGCAAAGTTTTCTTTATGAAATTCTATGATCTCACAGGAAAATGACCTTTTACTATCACATTCCAGCTTTCAACCTTTAGGACTTGATTTGTATTTGGTTGGTGGGCTCATCATCGACACTGCCTGTTTGTGAACAGTCTAGTTCTAGCTTACTATGAGGATTTCTCTCCTTCCTGTTTTAATTTGAAAGGAGATGGCTGCTTTGGGACGTAAAGTTGACTGAAAACCAGAAGATTTTCAAAAGGTTGAACAGTGATTTCTCTAGTTTAAAAATTATAATGCTATTTGAGGATTTTTTTTTTGTGGTTAATTTTCTATTTAGCTTTGAAAAAAAAAAAACCAATCAGAACTTTATAGTTGAAAAGGAATATGGAGCTATTTCAGCCCCATGTTCTCATTTTTGGGTGAGGAAACAATAGTCACAGAGACAGTAAATGGAAATAGATAAAATGTTTAAGAATTTGAATTGCCTTCGTCAACAGCATGGGAAGAAGCAGAGCTCCTGGTTTATTTGTACTTGTTTTTACTCTCATCTCTTCTCTCAAGTCTACTTCCATGGGTACATACTGGGATTCATAGGCAGTTTTAGAATTACATGTTTCTTTCTCTTAATTTGTGTGTATTTTCTTTATTTTTATCAATGTTGATTTTCTTTCTTTACTATCAAACTTTCCAGAGTCACTGGACAGGGACCCTACAGAATGTCAATTTTATCATTGCTCCATGAATAACACGAGTAAAGAGGATAATGCCACACATCCTTCTGGCAGGGGGGGGAGGGAAAATGGAACTGCAGCAACATACTTCAACAGGGGAGCAAGAACCTTGGTAGGAACGATTCCCATCACCTCCTCCCACCTTTTTCTTAACCTCTTTGACTCTCAAGAAGGAATGTGTAAATGCGTTCCCGTGAAGCTGTGTTTACCTGGCCTTGTGTTCACTCAGACTGGCCTGAACAAGTGCCCCGGCAAAGGTCCACCATGCCTGAGGCTTAGGGAGTGTGTCTTCGGTATTTAGTGGTGCTGTGCATACAGGATTTTAATACAAACCTTCTAAGTGGACTAACGAACACTGAAAGAAGATTAGGCAACATTTCACTAGTAGGAGAAGCTTCCCAGAGAATAAATCTGCCCATCACTATTAATAGTTCTCCGAAAATTTCTGTGATATAGCAACAATATTGTTGGTGACTGAAAGTATGATTTCATACAAGAGAACCACTTCCGAATGTTTTAAAACTATTTTTTAACACATGAAATTACACACAATACAAAATCCTTGTTTTACAAGTTGAAATCTTTACAGTCATGGGTGCAGTTACAGTAATGCAAGTAGTATTAGTGCATTCACTTAGAGCAGGGTTATTTATCTTCATTGGGCTGAACACAAAGCCAAGAATGAATTATTTGCCTAAACTGCTTTCTAGTATTTGAATAAAAAAAAGAAAGAAAAATGACTTCTACCTCCTGTAATAATATGTCAGAATGATAAACAATGCCAACAATTAAGTAGTCTGGTATCTCTATAAATGGGAGATTGGATTCCAGTAGCTTTTACATTGTAAATCTTAAAGTTTTAGCCACATTCTGTCTATCAAATTGTCATCATCTCAGCTTTCAGGAAAATTACATCATCTTTGGTCATAGGCTGCCAAAAAAACAGAAACTATAGACTACACCATTTTTCCCCAAAGACTCCTGTATTTTAATGAATAGCTGAATAAATAGACATTAATTATGAAATTCACATTAAGATAGAAGAAAATCCAAACATTCTGATTGCTTAATCTCTTAGATTTGATAGCTACTACAAAACATACTATTTATGTTAGGGTAGAGAAAAGCTGAATCACAGGAGTGTAACTGGGAAGTGCTGGCCGTTATGTACAGTAACATGGAGGAGTCATAAAATAAAAGTGTTTGTATGTACATATTTTTTTCCTTTTTTTTGCATGGAGAAACACTGTTTTATAAAATGGGAAAACACACAGTAGACCACATGCAACAAGGACCAATACAATGTGCACAGCAGTAGGATCAAATAAGACAAAAGAACTAAAGGTTTAAAAACAATTTGGGAGAGGGAAAAAAAAAAAGAAAAAATTGAAACCTGGAATGCTTTGTTCTTGAGGTTTCAGAATATAAATTTGTCACACAAGCCTCTTGATAGTTTTCAAAAGTTCCCACTTGACCTCTTACGGTTTAAGTGTAGAGCTAAAAATAAACCATCATATTATACAAAACTTTGTATATTAGCATACAAAAGGTAACAATTTACTTTTTGTATAAAATATAACCTTTTGATAGTATATTTATTTCACATATGTATAAATATAACCCAAAGAATATGTTTTAAGTATTTCTACCAAAATATTCTTTACAAAAGTTTACAAAAGAAGTCATTTATTCATATTTACAACCTAGCACAGAAAAGATTCCAGGCCAGAGACGTTGGTATTGTGTAAAAGAAGAAGAGTGCTTCTAGACAGTTTAAGGGTTGACAGAGGGCTTTGTAGAACTTTCAAAATATGATCTTTTTAGAACAGATACTGAAAGACTTAGTTATTAAATGAGTCCAGTTAAATTACACCTGATAATTGACTATGCAGGTGTATAACTAAAAAGGCTGAAGATAACTTATGTTCTTCTGTAATGAGGAAAATGATAGTGATGTTTTGCATCCATTCCAAATCAGCACACGTCCTCTCCGTTTTATAGCTGATCTGTGTGTGGGTTCTGAGGTGACAGGACTCAACAAAAACTCTTTGTTTGATACAGTGCTCGGCCCTGAGGGAGAAAACCTGGATACACAGGTTCATCTAGCATGTGGTGACGATACACCACATCAGGGAGCCAAGAATGGATACATTGCTACTGGAACGGATCACATTCTCTTTAGCTGTTCACCCAAATATGCCCAAATCAGGACAGATTGTTTTCTCTCTCAATTACGCTTTCCTTCAAACCCTGTCAAATAGATCTGTATCCAACCATACCCACCATTTCTTGTCCTGATCTTCTGTTTCTTATCTCCAATCCAAACAAGATACCTTCTTCTCTCCGTTTTCTTACAAATCAGTCTCTGGTCATCAAAATAAGCAGGGAAGACAAGGCTTAATTTCACTCAACATGGGAACTAACCAGCAGGCATCATCACAATAAGCAACACCCCAGGTTATCTGTGGCTAGATAAATCTCCTTTGTAGCCATGTCCAGTGGGATGTTTTCTTTTTGAAATAGTGAAATCTGATGCAGACAGGTATGCACCAATATTTCAGTATGATTAGGACAAGTTGTGATTGTATCTAAGACTTGGAAATGGACTCAGGAATGGGTTGTGGAAACCCAAATAAAGTTGGAGAGCTCTGCAATCTTGTCTCATCACCGGACACGGCATGTTGCTGAAGTATGGCGTATGTGGGACAACTGACCAAGTGAGAGGTGAATCTGGGGAAGAAACTCTATGATCCATTGGATGTTCTCTAGTTTCTCGGGCTCTCCTCTACTTGCAGAACTGTTTGGTTACTCCAAACAAGTTATAACATGTTATAACATCCCAATCTACCCTGGACATTTTAGGAAAATTAAAGGAAAAGACAAGAGTGGGAAGATTAAACCACACTGACTACCTATTAGAGCAAACGAAGGAATTTGTTCCTTGTTGCTGGGAACTGGTACCTCCGTATGACGTGGGGTTTAACTAGCCACAAGCTCTATTACTTTTCTTTTAGGGAGGAAAGGAACTCGGGAAACCTATTTTACACAACTGATTACACGTCAACATCACAGTTCTGTTTGGGCAAACTGGATACTGTGTCCTGGAGTTTAGATAGGGAAGAGTGATCCCAAGATTTTACTTTTGGGTTGGAGACTTAAAACAACCATTTGAACCAAGCACTGTAGTTACTTTCTGCTTCCATGTGTAAGCCAAGGTATCTTCACGTAGTCCAACTAAAAGTCAAGAGTTTGGCCTTTACAGTGTCCTTGTAAAATACTGCCTTTTTGTGTGTGGAGTTTATTAATTGTCTCCCTCTTCTCCTTTAGGAGTTGTTTCCCAAGATCTCATCAAGATTGATATCTTTCATCCAGTCGTCATTACCAGGCTCTGTCTTCAATAAGGAATCAATGAAATCAGCATCGCTGTTCAGGGCAGGGCCCATGTTATCCGTCTGTTGGTTGAGAAAGTCAAAAGCTAAGTCACCACTGTGGTCGGTTCCTTGAAAAGCTCTGGAACTTTGGTTGGGTGAAGGGAAACTGCCTGGTGTTAGGGATGGCGGCTGGCTTATGCCTGTCCTCGACTGACTCAACCCTGTTGCTGACTGGTTCAAATTAGGCAATATTTGTGTGCTGAGCTGATTGGGTCTGAGGTTCAGACTTCTCAGTGGACCCATCGTTTGTCCGTTTAATGGCTGGCTCATTTGGTTCATGGGTCTCATCTGCACCGCTGGTGTTAACTGGTTAGGAGGAGCCACTGGCCTCTGGGAAAACTGCTGGCTGCCTATTGCCTGTGGCAGGGACTGGTTTGGAGTGTAGGCAGCAGGTGTCCCTGTGGGGAAGCGGACCGCAGTGGACTTCAGGGCTTCCTGCTGTTTGGTTGTTGCTTCTTGAGAGGCCCAGTTTGGTGTTGTTGAGCTGGATGTGATCATTACGTTTGACGTTCTCTGTGCTGGCATGCTGGCCATGGTATGGGTTAAATTTGGTCTTAGTTGTGAATTGCTAACAGGCCCAGCTCCAAAAGTGGCCACGTTATTATTATTACTTGCCCCCAAGGTAGGTTGCCGTGGCATCAGAGGGTTGTTTTGATTTGCTATCAGTTGGTTTGGGTTCCTCTGCTGGGTCAGCTGAGTCACTCCTGAAGGGACGCTGTACGTGCCAGGCTGACTGCAAGGCAGAGTTCCATACATCCCCATGTTCTGAACTCCTGTGGGTAACGATGGCATTCTTGTCCCATGGGAAGTAGACATGAGGCTGGAGTTCGAAGTCAAAATGGTATGTGTGGAAACTGGGTTTGCCAAAGCCTGATTAGAGTTTAAACTCACGGTAGATGAGCCACCTGAGAAAGAGAAGATAATTACATTAGTTCATAACCACATATTTTATAGCAATTTGCAATAACTTATCCACTCTGAAACTGTTTTCAGGTATAAAACAAATAGAAATAACCATCATGCCATCTTTTATAAAAGGAGTAAGACAGCTTTGAGAGGCAAGTATTCCCTAGGTCATCCCTTGGTCAAGATTTTGTATAATATAGAGAAAAAGGCATAAAATGGCTCTAGCTTTTAGGTTTTACTTTACTCCTCTTCTGGAGTCACCGAGGGGAGGTGATAGTCAATCTTTCTTTCATTTTGAATTAGCTTTATCTGTTCCAAGACCAAAGACTAGAACTTTGATTAACCAGCTGCTGTGCAATCCAGGCTACTGGTTACCCCAGAATCCAAATGAGAAAGTGTGGAAGAATCCTACACATGGCTGCTAGATTCCGCACCTCTGGCCTTGAACACCATGTCCAGTTATTCATCCGCATCATCCCCATTCAAGAAGCTTCCTTGAGTGGCCCCCAAGTGTCCAAAGGGAAAATTCCCATCTCTTTAAATGTCTGGAATTCAGGGTGTCCATGTTCCAGTGGTGATTTCCACGTGGAAAGCCCTCTGCCCCAGGAGGTAGAATTACTATTGCTTTGTTATCCACATACCACAAACCACCTTTGCTCATGCCAGTTTCCTTTCATATGATGCCCTTCTTTACTCTCTGAACCCCACTTTTCCTTCAAAGCTCAGGCCAAAGTCTAAGCTCCTTCATAGAGCTTTGCCTGATACTCCAGCCTGCTCTTTGCAGAGGGATTTGCTCTTGGAAGCTTTTGTTCAGCACTTAGCTTTTGTATTGGGAAATCCATGGAACCTCAAAGTGGAACCATCAATTGTAGGCTGCCCTTTAGGGAGGCACCACATATCGGACAGTGATGAGTCAACACGTTAAAACCCTCCTGACTTGGGGCAATCATGGAGAGCCATCTTGAGAAGCAAAAATGGAATGTCAGAAAGATACAAGTAAGGGCTTGGTAGATGATAAGTTCCATGGGGGAAAGCATTTTTGCCCGTTCGGTTCACTGTGCTATTCTCTAAGTCTAGTGGAGTGCAAAGTAGGTATTTGCTTGATATTGAATGAATGAATGAGTAAATGAGAGATTGAATTAAATATGTAACTTGGAGAAAGATACTCTTTCAAAGTACTCTCCCTGCACAGGTGCAGGGAGGCCCAGAGAATCAGAAATACTAAGAAACGAGAATGGGACACACATGGAAATATCAGAACAGCATTGTAGAAGAAGAACATGGCTGTAGTTGTAGCTCTAGGGAAGCCTGGAACTGTTTGGGGATAACTAGCATGGCATACAGTCTGACAGGCTGAAGTCCTTGTTGCTTGTTTTAATATGTCTCCCACTAGACTACGGACCCCTCAAAGGCAGGAACAGTCTCTTGTATCTCCCTGTATATCCAAACTGAGCACACAGCCCTGACCTGGGAGGGCAGGAAGAGCTTGATAAAGAGGGATCAGAGTCGGGTATGAGATGCTGGGACAGTAAAAAGCTGACAGACAGCTGATAAGGGTAAGCAACAGCATCTTGGTATCTAAGGGTTTCATGAGAAGGGAAAGGACACTATGAAAGTGCTATGAGAAAAAAATTAGAGGTTTTTTTTTAAGATTTTAAAAAACTTATTCATGAGAGACAGAGCGAGAGAGAGAGAGAGAGAGAGAGAGAGGCAGAGGGAGAAGCAGACTTCCAACGGAGCAGGAAGCCCAACATGGGACTTGATCCCAGGACCCTGGGATCATGACCTGAGCTGAAGGCAGACACTGAAGCAACTTAACCACCCAGGTGCCCCAGATTTAAAGGTTTTAAAAATCATTCCCCGTAGGTGCCCTCTATTTTGACAAAATGCCCTGAGAAGGTTTACGAGGAGAGCAATAGTTTCAAACAACCACAATAGACAGAATTTCCATAAAGGTCACAAAATAGTAATCACAGTTAGTATTTAGAAGTTCCTAACATGTGGTGAAAATTGTTCCATGTGCTCTTCTTCATACATCATTTCTAATGTTAACATCTGGGCAAGGTGATTATTATTGCACTGAGATTAAAGCAGAAAATGACGAAAAGAGTGTGTTGTGCTTGTTGCTTATTTCATTCTCAGAAGACATGGGAAGTACAATGCTCTGAGTACTGGTTCTTATCCATTTGGGGATTGGCAACTGGATGCCAAGGATCCACCCTTAGGAAAAGTCCCATGTGTACTGTGAAACAGACTCGTAGGTGCCTACCAAGCATCCAGTCTCCCTGTCTCCTTTAGAAACGGACCCTTGATTTTGCAGCAATATGCCCAGCTGAAAAACCATATTTCCCAAGCTTCCTTGGTGATGGAAGGATCCAGATGAATACATTCTGGCTAGAACCAGAAGTTATTAGGTAAGAGTCCAAGAAACCTATTTTATTTTTGTTTAAGATTTTATTTATTTGTTTGAAAGAGAGAGAGAGAGCGCACAAGCAGGGGTAGCAGCAGAGGGAGAGGGAGGCTGCTGAGCTGAGCAGGGAGCCCAATGAGGGGCTTGATCCCAGGACCCCGAGATCACAACCTGAGCCAAAGGCAGACACTTAACTGACTGAGTCACCCAGCTGACCCTCAAGAAGCTTCTTTTAAAAAGAGAATCTCACTCATTTGGGAGGGCGTTCTACCTCTTCCCTTCTTTCGTCCTTCTACCTGGAATGCAACGTGAAGAATGGTGGTGTGTTGGTCTCAAGGCAACCCTTAGGGAGGAAACTCCACGTGAAAGAAGGTGGAGCAGAAAAACAAAAGATGCCTGGACCCCTGACAACACAGTACAGCCACCTAATCAGCCTGAGGCTGCTATCCTTGAGATTCTTTTATATGAAAGCGAAAAGAAAAGCCCAAACACCCACGTTGAATTTTGTATTATATTTCCAAAACTCCGAGCTTCCCTTGAACCCACCGATAGGCCGTGTTGTAAGAAGCCATGTTCCAAAGGAACTTCCATCTTGTCTTTCGGCCATGCTGAGGACAAGTGGAGACAAGTGGATCAGGCTTCATGCAAGCTCCAAGAGAGAGGAATGTCTGCTTACCTTACATGATCTGGGTCAGGATACCTTGCTGGGAGGAGAATGGTCAAACTGAGGAGTTAGAAAATATTTAAGTTCTCTTGAACTCTCAGAGGTAATTTGAAGGGCAGTGAAATATGTGAATAGAGGACAAGAATCAGCAGGAAATGAAGAAAGGACTAAAAACCACTCAAGTTCCATCTTGATCTGAAAGTTAAATGGGAACTAGTGCAGGATTCTAAGAAAGATGTTATATTTCCAAATGAGGCAGGAGAGGAGGAGATGTTAAAAACTGAATAGTTTTTTTCTTCTACAGTTATGATTTTTACTGATTTTTAAAAAGATTTTATCTATTTATTAGAGAGAGAGATAGCAAGAGAGAGAGCACGGGCAGGGGCAAGGAGTAGAGGGAGAGGGAGAAGCAGAGGGAGAGGGAGAAGCAGAGAGAGAAGGAGAAACAGACTCCCCACTGAGCAGGAAGTCCAATGTGGGGCTTGATCCAGGACTCTAGGATCATGACCTGAGCCAAAGGCAGATGCTTAGCTGACTGAACCACCCAGGACTCCCTATTTTTACTGATTTTTAAGAATACTCACCAGAATACTGAGCAGCGTTCGGCTGCATATTGCCCGTGTTTCTTCTTTGGTCTTTGTAATCTGGGGGTGGCCTTGTCAAATGTCTATTTATCTGATCCTGTGGAGCAATCTTCTCCTTGAAGACACAAATAAAAACATATTAAGTTGCATGTTTCCTTTCCCACTTGTAAACATTTATAGACTGTCATTCAAAAAAGTAAGTCTGCAAGAACAACTTTGCAGCTGTAGCTGTGAATCATATACCTTATTTACTAGTGTTACTTCAGAGACAGGTCTTTTCAATTTCAATGAATTTCCTGTGGGGAACTATAATTCCAACTCTCCTTAACACTCAGTGTGTGTTTTGGGTCTAGCAACTAACCTCATTTTCTTTATTTTGCAATTAGATTTCAGGGAGAGCTAAATTCCTAAGATTTTTGAGATGGTGTTTCTAGTTTTATTTTGTAGCACATCTGAGATGCTTTGGTACCTATTATTTAATTCTGATCCCATGGAGTGTGGCAGGCATAGAAGTAGGTTAACAGAGAAAATACAGAACACTTGGAAATTATATATTTTTATTTGTTAAATCTGGCAACCTTAGAGAGGAGGAGATGCCTGGGGATAATCTATCAGGATTGGTGGGGGCACTATACACATATTACTCAATTTTCCCCTTCTAAAATCACTCTTGAAATAGGAGTAATTATTTCCACTTAATAGATGAAGAAATGGAAGCTTCCTTAGGCCAAGTAACTTGCCAAAGATCCGAGTGGTAGAACAGAAATCAAATCCTGACTCAAAGATTCTGGTCCTTTCCCTGCCACACAATACACTATTTGCTTCCCTGTTCTCTGTGCCCCATTCTCAAAGCACAGAAGTCTCCTAGGACCCCTTCTTTTCTTCCTTCTGGAATCAGCCACCTTTAGATCTCTAGAATAGGTGAGTTTGGGAGCTAAGAGAGGAAATAGGTACGTTCTTTTTATATTTTCAATGCCTTTAGTCAAAGACCACCAGGAACACACCTGCTGGGTTTACTACTCATTGCAGCAAGGGAGAACTCACATCATGGGGGGACCCTGGGGTGCCTCAGCACTAGAGCGTTAGAAAGAACCTTGATTGGATGATTTAGGGAGGGTCTAAGTAGGCAATGATTTGTTCTAGGTTGTAAGCTGTCAAAGTGAGGTTGATTCTATCATTGAGTAAAGAAGCAGCCATTGCTCACTTAGCAAAAGGCGGGGGTTGGTATTTTGTGGGTTACAGAGTGACCTTGTGTCTGTGTTTAGATCAAACTATGAAGTGGCCTTATTGTGTCTCATTTTATCATGGTCTCCAAGTAACCCCATCTGAACTTGGTATCCTATCAGATGGTTCACGTCTGACAAAAGCAAAAATGGCCCGGCTGCGAGCGTCATATCAATCTGGACTCTTATCAGTCTTTCTCATCATGGATCAGGAAGTTTTTAGAATTGCTTTACTGAAGCATTGTATGCACCCCAAAGCAACCTCCATTTTCAAAGATAGACATAACTGGCATAGGTAGAAAGAGAACAATCAATAAATAGAAAATTGTGTAAAGATAGAGGGATAAATTAGATGGAGGCCAAATGTGCACTGGCCAAGTTCCCAAGATCCCACTTGAACCATGTACTTCTCAGTTCCTTAAAACAACAACAAACCAAGTTCAAATTTTTGTTTCTAAGAAAAAAACTTGAAAGACTCACAGGGGTTTTGGGGCATCAAGTAATTCGTATAAAACACGATTTTGATGAGCTAAGTGTAAATGAATCAGAAACATATGGATTACATTTCTTTTAAATATGGGTTTACAAATGAAGGAAAAAAGTGGTTGGTGAAAGTCTTTATGGTTTTGCCTAAACCCTAAATGTTTAAGAAACAGCTTGAGATGTTCCATGAACCCAAATGCGGTGATGTTCTATCCTGCCTGTTGTAAAATATTGTGCAAGCTGACAAGTTTTATTTTTTTGCCAAGCATGGGACTTTCTGAATTCTTCTCTTTTTCCAAAAGCATCTATCATTTTTTTTCTTATGTCAGTAGGTGTTTCTGCTGTTTATATTGAATAAACAGGATTTGTGCATGGGTGCACGTGCGTGTGTGTGTGAGAGAGAGAGACAGACAGAGACAAAGATAGAGATAGAGACAGGATCAGGCTCTTGGTTCCCCATTAAGGACTAGATCTCAAATCTGAACTTATTTTTATGTATATTCAATGTACTTACTGACTTCTTATTTCCCCGAGGGCTCAGTTAGATTGTTCCGAGGGTTAACAACACATCTCTGGAAACCTGAGTTTCTTGAACTACTTGCTCACCAGTGAGTTACATTTAATGGCCTGGCATATGGACTCTTCATGGGAATGGCTGTGTCATCCTGCATGCTCAGGAGTAGCGAAGACCAGACTGCAGCACGGAAGGCAGACTGCTCCCAGTCCCATTCTTTGCAAGAGGATGACCGCCCCATTCTGGCTAAGTGTAAACTCACAGGCCATCTCTGAGGCTACTTCTGCGGAATGTGAAATTGAACTTCTCAACTAATGCCTCATGATCTTGGACCCAGTAATTCAACCCAATAATCTGGACCTGAAAACCCCCTCGAGAAATAATCTCTGTTGTGCTTATCTGTCCTGCTTCAGTTTTGCCATCTCAAAATCTGACACGTAGATAAATCTAGGACCTCCCTCATAACTCCGATCAGAAGGACTAATCCTTTACCACTGTAAAGGCTGGGCGTGGCCCCTGGCCCACAGAAGGTGCACAAAATGTGTTGGTTACCATGACGCCCATAATCTTACGTATGACTCGACTCATCTTTCCTCTTTGTGCTTCTTTGGTGAGAGAATAACAGGGAGTAAGGATGATGCACTTTCATGAGAAAATGTCTCAATTTAGGCGCCTTTCTGGACTTGCCAACTGACTGGAAATGACTACAAAGCATATGCTAATGTAAAGCCATATCAAAGACTGTTTCTTCCTGGATATGCTAACAAGCACAGGCACCCTCAATGGCATCCAAACAAAGAGAAATGTGGAAATGTGAATGGTTTATAAAAATCACAAAAACAGCAGTCCCATTTCTCATTCACTGCCCTTTGCACCTGTCTCAGTGGTGACTCAACTGGGGCCCAAGGAGAGTTCAGCCAGTGCCAGGACATGATCCTTGGGGCACATTTCCTTGCCTTTGAATCAGAGCTGAAAATCCAGAAATTCAACCTCTGCGTGTTATAATTCAACACATGAGAAGGACTGATGGGAATGATGAGAGTCAGTCTTAGATTGTATGTTTTTCTCTCCTGCTGCCCTTGTTTCTAAGCTATTTAGATGACAAAGATAAAAAAAAAAAAAAAAAAAAAAAAAAAGGGAGGGAGTTGGTGGGACAGCTGGAGTTTCCAGAATTACAGGAGACTTATAGAAGGAATTAGTTGTGTTGATTTGTGATCTAGTCTGTGGCACCCCTACCCTTTGGGCAGTACTCAAGGTCACCAGTAAATTTGTTGCTCACTATTCCTTATTCGTCCCTCACTATTTCTTCTCACCTACTCTAGACCCCGAAATTATTCCGTTTGTCATTCCTTAAAATTAATGAATGATTATGTTACTATTTATACTATTTTGTTTTTTCAGTGTTCCAAAATTCATTATTTATGCACCACACCCAGTGCTCCATGCAATACGTGCCCTCCATAATGCCCACCATGAGACTCACCCAAACCCCTACCCTCTCCCCTCCAAAACCCTCAGTCTGTTTCTCAGAGTCCACAATCTCTCCTGGTTTGTCTCCTCCTCCCATTTCCCCCCATTCATTGTGAATTAAATATTTCAGAATTTAATCTCAAACCCATCAATAAATACACACCTAGGCTGGACCTTTTGTTGTCTAGCTCCTCCTCACCTACTCTATCCATCAGAATCCTGCAGTCTTCAAGGTCAAAGTCAAAGTCAAATTGTACCTCTTCTGGGAGACTTTCCTTAATCTCTCCAGGCTGGATGATATCTTTGCTCCATTACCTTTCCCGGTACTCTGTTCATACTTTATTGTAATGCAAATCTGAGTTTGGTGCTTCCTTGTTTCAAATCCTTAAAGTCCTTGCCATTGCTTTTCAGAGAATGTAAATTTATCAAGCTCTAGCCTCTCCTCTCTGGCCTCCTTGCCAATTATTTTCCTAATCCTCTACAGCCATCTACTATATCACATGGAGTATACGTTATTGCCCCCGAGTCTTTGAATATGCTGGTTCTTCCGGCTGGAAAGCTCTCCTCCTCTTTACCCCATCACCTACTTCACCTTCAGATCTTCAGTAGATAAAACATCCTCTCTGAAACCATCTCTAGTATTTGCCACATCACAGCATTTAATCACCTGCCTTTTGCCTATTTATATCACATCCCTGTGGGCTCTATGCTCCTTAAGGACAAAGGCAGGGTCTCTTTTATTTATAGCCATTAATATTTACCGAATGAATGATAGCACCCATCACACCCTAGATTTCTGACTTTTATTACAAAGCTCCTTGAGTATAAACATTTTCTATTTTGTTTGTCACATCTCTGTGTATCTTGACTCTATCAACCTGGAGATGGTTAACTCTGCCCCTTTTTCCTTTCATTTGGCCAAATTGTCTGAAGGGAGAGAATGAAACCTGGAGAACTTGGCGTTTGGAGGCCGGAGGGGTTTGAACCGGTGCCCGACCGTATGTCTGAGGACACGGTAGGGAAAGCGGATAACAGTGAAGCCTGGCTAGAGCTTGGGTCCTGCTGGGGAAACAACCACCTTGCCTTTCTTTAAGGTCACTTAACTATGGTGAAAGTTGGAAACAGATCCTCAGTTTTCTTTAAAAACATCCCCCCTTCTGAGATGCTTTATTTTGGAATCCAAATCTTAAGTTTTGAAACTCCATGCTGGCCTTTACAACTGTTTTAGAAATTCCTTTTACCTCTAAAATCAGTTTGGATTCAAGTTGATTAAAGTTCTGTCCCCAATATCTGCCCCACAGGGCTGCAGCATAAAAATGGCTCCTTTTGCCTGATCCAAATACCCATGTTGGTGGTTCTTAACATTCCTGGGCTGGGCAGGGCTAGTTAGGTGGGGTGCCATGCATTCCAACTGTCCAGCAGCTGGTAAATCAAGTGCTTTTTAATTTTTTTTCCTGCAGCACGATAACCTATGTATAGAATTCACTTTTCTTATAGCCAGGACTCTCTCCTTGCTCTCATCGAAGTAGGCACAGAGAAAAGGGCAGTGACCAGAAAGGAGAAATAATGAATTCCCCCTGTTAGGTCAATAGGTACGTGCAGTAGACATTAGGAAAGAGTTTTACCGTATCAACCAGCATCTGTTGCTGTAGGAGAAGCTGCTGTTTTCGCTCCATGATCGGCCTCTGTAGAGACTGTTTCTTTCCCATCAATTGCTGATTCAACAGTGATGACTGGGAGTTCATGTAACCACTTCCGGTGTTTGGATTTGAGCAGGGGTTGGGACTTGGACTGGGGCCTGTGTTCTGGCTGACCACAGAGTGTTGATCCTAAAGAAGAGAAGGAGGAGGTAGGGGAAGCTACTGTGAATTAAAAGAAGAAAAATGTAGCACAGAGATCATTAGCTTAGATTCCAAACATTTTTCATCTTGTTAAGATCAAACATGTTTAAATGAGTTGGAGATCAGAGAATTGCCTTTTAAATGTAGGAGAAATAAATGTGTATTATGACAACCAAAGTCGCTGGGTTAATGACATTAGGGTACTGGAAAAGCTCCCATATGTCTCTGATGGTGGAACCTCCACATTCCAGAAGGCGTTCATGGAACCTCAAAGAAAACAACCATAAAAACATACAGCAAACCTCTCAATTGCTCAGGAACAAACACATCATAAAGTAATAAGTTCTTCCTTTTCCTTAAAGCTAGCACATATCATTGCTGATCCTGTAACGGAAAAATTATGTTTTAATGCATATGTTCAAAAGTTGCCTAACCATTTTGGTCAGAAGGGGCCGGGCTTTCAGTAATAAGAAGAGAAGACCTATGAGTTTCTGTTTTACAAACACTCTGAAACCTGGCAGGGACTTCACTTTTCGGAGACTTGTCAATTTTGCTCCCTGGTCAGGAAGTCAGGAATTTCAGTGTATCAATCAGTAAAAAAACACCCGACCGACAATGAGAAAGTATTGATTAAAAACAACATTGCAGAGTAGTTATCTTGGGTATTGCTTTTCTAACTCAAGATCTCTACCAATCTCAACGCATTGACCCTGCAGGGCAGAAAGCTAAACCTACCCAAATGTTTTCATAAATTCCCAATGCCGTGTTCAGGCTTGTATACTGTTGGGGTTACAAGAACTCTTCCCACCTTGAAGAATGTATCTAATTAAGGAAGAAATGACATGCTTACATGTAAAAATACAAGAAAATACAGAACCAAGTCTTAGATATGATACAATTCCTAAGTTAAAGGTCCTCACACTTTGATGCTCTGGCCTTGCTCCGGAAATTCCGAGGGTTCCTGGTTCCTGGTCAGGAAATTCTAATACTCAGTGGTCAAAGGTATGCTCTTTGAGAAACATTGAGAAACACTGGATGATGGGAGCAATAAAACCCAACTTTCATTCCCCATCTGGACTGTGTGAAGTTACAAGAGATTACAAAGATAAAGCAGCTCTCATGATGCCTGATGAGCAGTCGTATATACTCCTTTTGTGGAAAGTCTCTTCTCTTTTATCTCCTTCTTTTTCTTTAGTTACCTACTATGCTAAAAAAAAAAAGTCCACAGCCTCGAGAAATAGGCAATGTGGCCTATTCAGTAATTCCTGGGGCTACAGAGCTCACCAACTACCTCAAAAGCAAAGGGTTACAAAATAATCCTAAAGATGACCAGACACTGAGCCTTATTACAAACTAGGCACCGTCCTCAATGCGTTCCATGACTGACCACATTTAATCCTCTCAACAAAACAATGAGCAGGAACTAGTATTATGTTCCCAGTTTTGCAGATGAGAAACATGAGCTCAGAGATCACACAAGTAGTTGAGGAAGATGTGAAGCCAGGTCTGTCTGACTTCAGAATTCTTCCTCCATCACTGTACCCTGTTGTCTCTCAGCTCAGATGAGACGTGCTGAGGAAAAATGTGCTCCTGCTTTTGAAGTGTGCAGACCCACCTGCCTGTGCAGAATGTGTTGATTGAACACCCTATGCACGGGGAAGCACCCTCTATCAGGCATGAGGAAGGGAGTGTGGTGGCAAGAAGGGCAGTCTGTGGGGGTCTGGAAGGGGGCGGTCCTCCTCACCAGTTAACTAAAAATAATGGGAGCCATCTCTGAGGCAAGCACATCCTCCGTGTAGCTTTAAATAACCATCTCCAGACACCTCTGCATGCAATGCCCAGTCAGTTCTCTCAAAGTTAAATCCAACTTGGTTCTTGGGGGAAAAGTTTCACCCCACATGTCCTACAAGCCACTAGGGATATGGGCCTGCAGACAAGCACATGAGGGTCATTACCATGATGGCAGTGGGTGATCTGGGCATTGAGCACTCTTGGAGGGCAGGTAGAGAAGGAAGTACCTGGAAGACTGAGTTGAATCTTTGGTCTGCCCACACAAATGAGAGCGAAGCAGAGACCAGGACAGGGAGAAACAAGGGTGGGGAAATGGGGGGTGGGGTCAGACAAGAGTAACGATGACCGGAAGTGATGCTAGAGGACATCAAAGTGAGAGAGAATATAGTGGAGGTGGTGGCTGGCCCTTCACTCTCCACCGCAACCAGAATAGAAATCCATCTGCTTTTTCCTACGATATAATAATTTGAAGTTTAGTGCAAGAGGGTGTATGAGAAGAGGATTTTGTGTTTTAAGAAACTGGTTGATGAACATACTCAGAAATATTCAATGTGTTTTTCTTCTCAGCCTTCTTGGCACTGTCACAGTGCACAAGATCATGAACTCTGCAGATGGCCCTGCTGGAATTCATATCCTGGTTCTGTCACTCATTGGCTGAGTGATCTGGGAGACGTTAATTTACCTCCATGAGCCTCAATGTCCTTATCTGTAAAATGGGCACAATAACAGTACTGACTTTATGGGGTCGCTGTGAGAATGAGAGGAAATGATACTACGCACAGCGTTAAGCACTTAGTAATTGACGGTGGCTTGTAACTGTTCACATTATTTCTACACACACAGGAGGAGTGTGTTTTCTTTGTTTACTGTGAACCAAAGGAGACAGGCCTTGCAGATGGCACAAAGCTGTTCTGTGTTGACTCCTTCAGAAATGCAGAGGTCTCAGTTACATTGTGGAGAGTGAGCTACCGATGGACTCGGGGAATGACCTTCATCCTCTACCTAGAGAGGTCAGAAGAGAAGCTGGGAGTCATCCATTCTCTGATGGAAGCTCTTTTGGAAGGATGCTTCTTTCATCTGGGTTAGGGTTTTGGCTCAGGGCCCTGATACATTTTTTTTCCTTGTTTTTATTTCTTAACATCCAATTATTTATTAATAGAGCAGCAACATACACTTACTGAGTATTGTACCTTAATTTCTTTGTTTGTAAAAGAGCAGTAATTATATTCATGACATAAAATCAAACCATGGGCACCTGGGTGGCTCAGTTGGTTGAACAACTGCTTTCAGCTCAGGTCCCGATCCTGGAGTTCCAGGATTGAGCCCTGCATTGGGCTCCCTGCTCGGCTGGGAGTCTGCTTCTCCCTCTAACTCTCCCCTCTCTCATGCTCTCTGTCTCTCATCCTCTCTCTCTCAAATAAATAAATAAAATCTAAAAAAAATATATAATAAAATCAAACCAGATGAAATTTAGAACAGTTCTAGGCACTTTGTAAGTACTTAGTTACATTTCAGCAATTAATATTTTTCTTCTTTCTTCCTTTATTATTTTGTATATGGCAGAGATGTTTTAGAAACAATTACGTCTGTGAAGAAGCTTACACTGTAAGCCTATGTGGATTGCAGACAACGGTGTGCTTAGCTCCCATCATATTTTATTTTTGTTTTTTTCTTTTCTTAATTTTGCAACTTTAATGTAACATGGATACCAAAAATATGAAAACACAACAAAAGCACACGACGAAAACAAGAAGGGCGAAGACGGCTTCCTTATGCATGCCATCTCGGATGAGCAGGTTTGGAAGGTGCCCCGAGTGCTGTGTGAAGGAGTCAGGGGATGCACCCTGGCTTGGTGAGTGACTGCTGCCATTCATCAGCATTATTGGATCCCAGGGAAGTTGGCACTCTTTCTGGTGGCATTTCTGGTCTGGACAGTGTTGCTGGTGCTGGGCCCATCTAGAATGTGGTGCTGGCCCCACCATTGGAGCCAGGGCTGACTCCAACTCTCCCAGTGGTTCTGTTGGCACGGTTGCCATTCAGAAGCTACTGATGGTTTCTGGCCCAGAAAGCCAAAGGAATCCTGGCCCCAGCGATTGCTAAAATCTCCATCCTCATACCATGTCAGAAGCTCCACCTGTATGTCATCCCAGCACCACTGTCCAATCAGAGCTTCATCCCCGATGTCCGTCTGGGCCCTCATCGGGGCCCTGACATGTTCCTCAGCCATATCCACATCCATTGTCTTGAACGCACCATCCACAGCCTCCAAGAAATGAGCCTTCCCTTCCTGGGGTCTCGGTTCTGCTGCTGGGTGATGACTCTCGGCGTGCTCATCTTGCTGGTCTCGTGGAGGACTCTCAGGCCCCAGAGGAGCTCAGACTAGGGTTGGTGGCTGCCAAGGATTGTCTTGTATTCCAGGTACCTCAGTGCGACATACACATTGGCGTCCAGCCGGGCAGACCTGTTGCACCAGCGGCTCCTAGATGGCCCCTCCCCTGTTCCTGTGGGGCATGGGTAGGGGGCCTCCAGCCCATGCCTCATATCTATGCCCCCTCTCAGGGCTACTGCCTCCATGATTGAGGCCTTCAAAGCCTTGGGCTGCTGTTCCTATCCAGAAGCCTTGTGGAAGTGCAGGGTGGGACACGTGTAGGGTGTCTGTTTATAGGAAGGCCACGCATTTTGTGCCCCTTTTCACAGCGAGCCCAGATTCCTGTTGGGTGTGTTATAAACAGAGGAGCCATTTCTTCAGGCTCCCTGCTCTGAGCACACCCCACGCTCCCATCATATTTTAAACATAAGGTGTGCCCTCCAGTGAGCCTCAGTCAGAAATATTCTATTCAGTCAGAAATAAACTATTTCTTCGTTTATTCCATCTGCCCATTTCCCTCATTTCTATTACTTGCCTGGCTCATAAGGGCATTTGAGGTTAAGATCCCAGACTTGTCATTTATCTGGGAACCTAAGATGCACACATCGCATACCCTACGTGGGTCTCACTCAAATTTACGCAGGAGAAAAGCAATTTCCATTAGGTGGTATGATACCTACTGGAACTCTAAGGTTAAAATATAGATCTTCTAATGCCTAATCTAGTCACCTGTGCATCCATCCATCCACCCAAGAATTTCGATATTTTTAATGAATATCTACAATACTCTAGGCAGTTTTCTATTTTCTAGAGATTAAAAAATTATATA